GAATTTAAAAAACTCTGAGAATTCCCATTGATAAACCTTACAAATAAAACAAAAGCTAAAATGTTTTGATAAAAACTCACCCAATACTTCATAATACTAATGTCTCCATAAGGCTATTACTGTTTGTAACAGTGACAAGGATGGGGGAGAGAGACATATTATACAGCTGCTTCTTTTCAGTTTGAACCCTCTCTCCTTTGTCTTTCTCAAAATAATAAACTGTTTAATATTCAGAATATACATACGGGCTCGTAAACACAATTCTATGGATAAGAATGGGAGACAGACTGTTTCCTAAGTGGGGCCTAATCCTGGGATCAACTATAACCTGGTAAACCTCGTATTCCTTCTGTTTTTCAGAGGTGTCTGCTACCTAAAAATTAAGACCTACAGGGTTGCTGAATGTTTTTAAACCTATACTAACATATATATTGAGCAAATACACTAACTCTTCAACAGAAACCACAAGCCTTACTCCCAGTTTATTAAATGAAACTTAAAAGTATATGCCCTAACTTCAGCCAGAGGAAACTTCCAGCTTGTGACTTCCTAGCAGGTGGATGTTGTCAGGTCTAGAGCTTTCTGAAGAGAGATGGCCTACTGTCTCCTGATGTTTCACTCCATCAAAACATGAGGCATACTTAGCAATTAATGACTCTAATTAATTTTCTTGACAAAATAGTTAAAAGAATTACCTTGTTTAAGGAATGAATCCTATTCACCACGGGGAAAATACTTTATAGCTAGAGAATTAAGTCAGTATGCAGTCCCCTTTCCCAGGTGAGAAAGACAACATGCCTCTGTGAATAATTTCTTTTCTAACTCTAGAATGAATTCCCAGTTACTGTGACTGCTTACAGAGCGTATAAGCATCAGCTATACTGATGCTTGAATATAATTTTGCTGAGAACAGTCACAATAGACTCAGTAACTGCAATTTAAATATTTTAGTCTAAATACAACTGATTAGTAGCTCTGCATTTCTGAAGGCCTATGAGACTACTCAAGAGTTGCTGCTAAATGCTACTTTGAGAAGTATGTAGCTAGATGCTGATTTCTTTGGTATGATTAGTGAAGTCAGCAGAGTATCAGAGTGCAATAGAAATAATAATACATTTAACTACAACAATGAATTATACCACTCTATAATCATACGAAGACTTCATAATGATCACTGAGGCCCAGACGCAGTAAAACATGATCTTTTGTTTCCTGAATGTAAATTGCCTTAAGAACAGTTTTAAATTATATGTGAATAGGACCTGAGAGAGCACAATCAAGGAGTAAAATAAAGCTTGCAACATTCTTTATCAAGTAGGTGGTTGTATTATTTCCTTTCACATACTGCATTTTACATTTCCTTTTACTTACTACACAGTTTATTTTCACAGTTGTCCCCTTTTGCACAATTACTGCACCATTTTCCTTCTACATATGGTTTTCTTGGAAAATTACCACTACAAAGGAAAAAGAAAAGTTTCATACATAATTTTAAATGATTTGTTAAATATCTTAAATCATTTGTTGAAGTAAATACACTGAAAGTACACTAAATTGCTGACAATTTATTTAAAACATCAGAATAATTTTCCTTCTTTTAATTTTCATTGTTCTGTCCCTGTGAAAGAAAAGAATCTAAAAAAGCTATTATTTTTCTTACAGGAAAATACTCAGGCTTTTTATTCAAATTTTACATTGGTATATGAACTTCTAAAATACAATGTTTTGGATGGAGCTTGGCTTTAACTGAGGAAAAATGAGCATTTTAGAGTGGAAAATTTTAAAGCTGACATGCTCCCAAATAGCTTAAAAAAACCTGTTTAGCAAAAACAGAAATCTTGTGAGCTACCTACTGTTCAGTTAAAACCTTGAGAAACAAGACCTTCATTCCACAAAACGCAAACATGTAAGACTAAGTACGCAGTCTTAGTAAAGACAGTGGGATGCTTACATGCTCAAGTGCCTCACCCCAGCACAGCTGAACTGCTTAAGTATAAAGATTAACCTGCAGTACTTACCACTGCACATTCTCAGAAAGGCTCCTTATACAGATAACCTCTGAAAACGATAATGCAGATACCATCATCCTGGCTGCCCATACCGTACTACTACGTAATGGCAAACCCAGTGTCCGGTCTATGCTTCATCCATTCAAAAAGATGAAGCAATGCTATGTTTCACAGCTAATCCTGGGAACACGGGCAGATTTAGCCCCCTCAAAGAACTGTGGGCTATTATAGTTAGGTTTGTCAGTCTACTCCTCTCCATAGTGGACACTCCTCAGAGATAATTTGCACCAAGATCAGCGATATTTTTTCAGGATTCTAAGTCTGTATTTACACTATCATCTCTATTTAAAACAAACAAGAGCTACCCACCAGACATACAGATGCAAGAGTTGGTATAATGCTGTTGTACAAGATGGAGGGAGAAGAACATTTCAAAAGATTACCTGTGACTTACTTGCTACTATTCTTCTTTGAAACATATTTTATATACATTCACCCACAGGTATACTGTTGGCCAGAGTTTTATCCCAGCAGCATCTACAGCGGCATGTTGCAACCATATGCCCTAACATGCAGTCCAGGCAATAATGAAATAGATGGGGGATCTTCTGATCCCAAGAATTGAATATATGTTTTGAACTTGTCAGAAAAGACCAGGAGAGAGAGTTGTTTTTATATATATATGTATACATAAATATCTCAAAAAATAAAAGTTACACGTTAAGTAATATATCTTTCGGGTGACTGTCCATATATACATTCACAGCATGGGTGATTCCAAACAGTAGCCCACACAGTTACCTTAAAAAGGGTCTCCGAATCCAGAATAAGAAAGACTGAAGGACAAAGCATTGCTTCTGGAAGATCTGGCAAGAACATAATGCCTTATAAAGGTATGAAAGCAGACCCAACTTGGGTGACTGTGCATGTTTCAGTTGCAGGACTGCAACACAAAGAAGCCGCACGTTGCCTCAGCTGCAATTCAGCAAGTCTTTCCTGGTATCAAAGGTTTCCACTGTGATAATTACACTATTACTTCACATAGTTCATAATCCACTGTGAAATCCTCTTTGAGAAGACTGATGTAACTCTCAGCCACAGATCCAGAGACATAAAAGGCCTTGCCTTTTTCTCTGAGGCACCTTATCTTATTACAAATAAGTACATCTACGTATCTATCGACAGATTGATTAACACCTAAGTTGTAGAGTGATGCCTCACTGAGAAGGTGTAAAGAATGGGAAAAAAGGGCACAAATTAACTTCTGGAGGGAGAAAAAAAAAAAGTCACTCTTAAAAGGAACTTCAGGTGACTTATGAAGACTATGTGACTTAAATGGAATAAAATATATGGGAGACTAACATATGGGCTTTAATTTCACTAGTCTTGATGGTTTAGGCCATAGAAGCTAAAAGGCTCCATAAAAAGTGACATTATTGTGGTTTATGTTTTACTTTTGAAGAGTAATAATTTAATTCAATTAATCATTACTCCTTTTCATTTGCTTCTGACAGCTAGGGAGTACTGAGCTGACATTTTCCATGGTTTTATAGGTTACTGCCTTTTCCCCCCATGTATCACTTCGTATTTACCTACAGTGATTTTCATTTATCACTTTATTCACCAGCCACTGAGGTCCTCTAATATTGTAACTCCTGCAGCTTCTTCAGGAGAAATTGAGTCCTAAAAATTGCAGATACAGCCACCTATCAGGGACTGGACGTCACCTATATTTCTGAAGAGGTGGTGAAGACCTGGAAGGTCATATTCCTGCAAAGGTATGATAAACAAAAAGGTAATGAGGTGTTTTCTGTATTCCCAAAGGCACAAAAGTATCACAGATGATTATCTTTTTTTCTTACAACGGAACTGAGAGGCATTGAGTGAAGTTGGTACAAGGAGGTAGTTTTTCCACATCTGTGAAAGTCATGGCATATCTCTTGTTCTGAGGATGCCATGATCTGCCCAACAGGAAAAAAGGGATATCCTGTCCCTGCCAATACCCAGGACCTCAGTGAACCCTCTTTTGATGTGAAAAGGTCTGCTGGTAACATTTGGACTGATAGCGCTTAAGACTCACAAAATACAGGTACTACCTGTACGACAGACTTATAGGGATATGAAAGAATTCATCTTGCTGTTTAAAGATATCTTATTCAACAGTGTTGGGATAACCTCAACCACTACAAATCTTAATCTGTAACTGCAAATAAAGCTGTTCTAATTCTGTAAGATCTGAATATGTCACCATCAGAAATATGTCACTCACAACAGAAAGCAGTTATAAAAAGTCCTTTGCTCTAAAATAAGTGGAAACTTAACTGCTCCAAAACCAGCAGAGGTTTCCCCTTCTGCTAAAGTAGACTGAAGATAAAGGTCCCTAAAGAGCTTCCATTTTACACAGAAGCACAAATAAAAGCAACAGTCTGAACAGAACTGAATAAATCCTCTTGATATCTACAGTCCATCTATCTGTGATGGTATTTGGTATTTCTAACCACCTTGTAATACAGTCATCCTCATAATTCTGACATACAATTTCAAAATGTGTGAGAGAAAATTGAGCATGAAGATGGACACTTTCCGCTGGGATATCTGATTTGCACGCATTAAACTACTTTTCCTAGAAGTCAATGTATGATTAATCACTGTCTCCTCCTGTGAAAAACAAATGAAACAAACAAACTTTAAACACAAAACCAAAAATATTAGAAAAGGGTTTGGAATAGGAAGCAGAGCTGCCACATTACTAGTTTCTAAGAAAACATTGTTAAGTGTCTCAACAGAGACTTCCTCCATAGCACTGAGGGGAAACTATGTGATTTCAAAAATGACTTGAGCATCATAAATATGCGGATATTGGTAAGTTTTGGAACAAGCCACAGCTTTCAAATGGAGGTATGGATGGTATGTCTCCATGGGGCTGGTGAGCGCAAACTCTACCTGGTACGTAAAAAACAATGCCAGCACCCAACCTGAGACACGAGTGATTCACTGGATCCACTGATCCAGTTCAGACTGATAGCTTGCCTTCACCCAGCAGTGAAGACTCCAGAAACTGTCAGATGACAGCAGTTTTCTGACATCTAAGGGTCCAAACCTGATGAAGGCGTCATGAAGGTCAAGTCAGAAAAGGCTGTTCCAGAGTATCCAGAGTGTGGTGATGATCGGTGGCGAGGTTAAGGTTTACCTATTTTTCCAGACAGTTTAGGAAGGGAAAAGGCTGTTAGAAGATGGTGTATCTGCTCTAACACCACTTGTTTCTGTGGTGACATAGAGATCAGCATTCTTGGCATCAAGCAGTTGACAGAAGAACAATAGCATGTTAGACCTCATCTTAGACAGCTATTCAGCTTAGCCATCAGTTCTCCAGGATGTGCAGAACAGCACAGCAAACCAACGGAGCATGTTGTTTCAGATTAGAAAAGTCTCAAGTGACCAGGCTTTACAGACCACTGTTGATGTCAATTAGTCATTATTCTGCACTGGCAACTGGAAACATTTTAGTTCAGATTTTAAAAAGAAAACAACAACGAAGTTCCATACCCCAGCAAGTTTAAAAATAACAATTCAAGTACAAGTCCAGTTTTGTGCTACAGGAAAAGAGATGGGCAGGGCTCAATGAATTTTTTAGTTCAGGCTAATTGAACTCCACAATAGTGGCCCAGGTTTGCTGGAAAAAATGAAATAACAGTAGTCATGCAAGCTCATAAGCTATGTATATTTTAAAAATGACAGAGGTTGCATATGCACATGCTTGGTTATCAACTGTGCATTATTATGAGGCAAAATATATTATTTTAAATCTATCTGCCTCTGTGTTCTCAAACTCCTGCTTTAGGAACAGCACCAGCTGAGACCTGTTTTTTTCAGAGTTATCAATTTAAATGTAAAATCAGATGTTGCATTAGCTTTTTCTTGCATTGATAATTTACTGTTTTCTAATGCTTAAATAACATTTGGCATAACCACAGCTATTAAATAAGCAAGAAATGATAATGTAATTTTATTTTACTCAGTTACACAGAAAGGAAAAGCAACTGATCTAACAACTGTGCTATTATTTCTATCATTTTGAAGGGGAAAAAAATACAGTGTAAAAAGCTTAAGTGCAATTAAAAAAAAGTATATAACTGCAAGAGGTAATGCCAGCTCTGACAGCAGTTGCCTGCAGCAACTTCCTCATTTCTTCTCATTTCATATGAAAAAAAATCAATGAAGTGGAGCATGAGCTAAGTTTGTTTGCTTAAGACTGGCACAGAATGAGATTTATCAGTAAAGTCAACAGATTAAAAAACTAGGCAACTACACATTCTAATGCTTGCGGCTCTCTTGGTAACTGAATTATACTGCCACTGTCCTCTCCAATTGCATTTACAAGACTATCAATAAATAAAGAACCCAATTTACCTTCAGCTAAATGTCAATACAACTGCTTTCATTTTTTAAAAAATTTAAACCAGCAACTTACCTTGGTGAATAGTTGCAAATAAAATTTGCTGCATTTCGTATTCCTGCAATTTCCTTACATAGAGTAACAGCACAGCCTATTTTATATGAATAGTCCCAAACAACCTAAAAGAAAAAGGTTTTAAAATAAATTAAAAATTACACTCAACAGTAACCTAGTCTAGTATCTAGCAAATTTCCGTTACTTTCAGAGATCCTACATACTACTTTCATTTTGCAACATCTGATATTTTTACACATTTAAAAAAAAACTGCTGGTAAGCCAACTTTTTTGGATGAACTTATATTCACCTCTCAAGATGAGGTGAGCTATGCTGCAAGTTTCCAGTATCTTCTACGCAACAATTTCAGTGTGAGTCACTGACTTAATGATCCAGGGGTAGATTCCATGGAACAAAAGGGAAATCAGTGGCAACTACCCAACAGCTCCTTTAACTAATTTCAACATTCATAACTCAGGTCTGCAAGAAGGACTTCTCCTGTGTGCTAGAAGTGGCCTGGCTGATTACTACTGTAAACTTCAGTCTGAAGATTCAGACCTGCACATTTTTAGACTAACAAGTGTTATCTGTCATACTTAAGAGAAAATGGTTTACTATGACATTTTGGGCATCTGCCTTTTCTTGGGCGACCTTCTGCATATGACTAACCAAACTGTACTGAATTCAGGTAAAAATGTTTAACTATATACCTAGAACATACCTAGATCTGGGTGATCATACATTCCACTTCCGGAAAACTTAAAAGACATAGTGGACTTCCAGTATCTCCCCAGTACAAAGAGTACAGGCCTCAGACTGACAAACTAATTTGAACATCCCTAGAAGTTCCATCTCTTAGGTGGTAACTGCAAGAAGCTATTATGTTAAACAGACATAACCTTTCTTTGAAAAGGATCTTAATGTGGTGTTACCTGAATCCTGGATTAAGCACTAAGCATTTCAGGGGCCTTTATGTAACAGCTTTTTTTTTTTTTTCTTTAATTTGAGATTTCCACCATTTTGAGATTTCTGTGTCATGGTTCTCTTAGCAGGTCTACACAGCCTATCCATTTATGATTTGTAAATTTTATCCATTTTCAATTTTGTGTTTGAGCCTTCAAAACCATGATGGCTCCTGGATCATGCAGGGTCTTTGCTTATCAATTCTGGTAACATATATACTTTTACATGTTCATTGGTGTTTAACCCATGTACTCTGCTTGTTTTTTCCAGTGATAAGTTTCCTTTGTAATTCTGCCTGGACTACATGAACGTTTTGATATGACTTAACTATGTGTAACAAGAAAGGAGCAAGGAATATTCATCAGGGGAAAGAAAGCTTAGAAGTGAACATCGCTCCAAGAGAAATGTGCAAAACCACACAGAATTCTATGTAGACAAGGTTGAATAGTAAATTTTAAAATGCTAGGAACTATCTTGCTATGTAACTTTTTATAATTTATTGTGCCAGAGAAAAAATGAAAAATACTTTCCTAAGATACCTTCTAGTTCTAGTTTTCTAACATTTACTGCCCAATAAACAGCAAAACTTAAATCCTCCAGCCTTGCTTTTGAGTTTGTTACAGGCAGAACCAGGAGCAGGAAACAAGAATTAACACTTTAGGGGAAATAAGTGAGAAAAGACATAAAAAGAGGTGCAAAAAGACCCAAACAGAAAATGCTCTCTAAATTATTCTGGTGACTTCAAGTATTTTCATTTCAGAATCCAAAGTCTACTCAAAAAAACCCTCGCAGCTACTGTTGTGTCTGGTAACAGTTTCACTGTAAGTATATGTCACAGTATTTGCATCTGTAATTTGCACAGAGAGTAGTCTAAGCATCTCTGAATACTGAGAAGAGAAACTAGAGTTGCTTTTACTAGACAAGAACTACTTGACATTAAAATTATCACCTGGTTTAGATCAGTGAAATACTGTATTTGCTCATAGACAAAACTAATTCTACTGCAAAGCTTTTTAAACATGGGAATGAAAAAAAATCCATTTAAAATATTAAGTGTTCAAATAAAAGCTTTACTTTCTCAGAATTGTTTGTCAGAATTACCATGGAGAAATCAGAAATACATCATAAATTGCCTCTTTTGTTGTTGATGCTTTTCCCCTTCCTTTTTTACAAGATATGTAGAGAATACAATTTACTTTGATTGGATTTTCTCCTGTTAACAGCTCTACTGAGGAGTACCCAGCCATTCTGCAATTACTGTGATTATTTTGAAGAGCATCTCCAAACTTACTGTTTTTACAGAATTCAAAACTGTGTGGCTTCGCAGCTAGAGAATTTGAAATTATTACTATTTTATAAAGTTCACATAGTACTGATACAATAAAATGAGGAGTGAGGCTTTCAGTGAGGCCAATATTGTGAACAAGAAGAATGGATTATTATACAAGACAAAGAGGTGGACCAGTGTGGGGCTAACCAGCAGTACAGCTACTGCTTGAAATTACAAAAGACAGTAAGCTGCCAGTGACTACAAACCAGATATACAACTCTGTATTATTTACGGCCCCTACTGATTCATCTGGCAGGCACTACACAGGACATTTTACCGCACATAACTCTTACCTGAATGTAATGACTGCAAACCTTAGTACATTTCTGCGTTGCGATAGTATAGAATCTGACCTCATTGTACCATGATTTAATGGCATCAGCAACAGAGAATGCTTGATGACTTCCAGCCCAAATATTCTCTCCAATAGATGTGAAATTAGGATGGCACTGATGTTTCTTACTTAAGTGTACATTATGTTTAAAAATGCATTTATTTGCCCATGCCCTTGCAGTCCTTGCCAAAGCTGAATCCCAGGTCTGCAAAACATGAAAGGTGAAATAGTTGTGCAATGTTAAATTACAACCAGATCTCAAACAATCAGATAAAACCAGTCAGGCAATAAAGTACAGATAAATATCATATGATGGAGTTTCATAAAGAAATACTTTCTCTTATTTACGCAAGTACCCGTGTTTTATTTTCATTGACTTTTCCTGTGGCAGCACAGAAATATGAACTGATTTCATTAGACGAGATTTTTCCCCCGTCACTGTTGAAAATTAACTTTGTAAGAACACTTGCTAGCAACTGAAAAGATGTTTGAAATGCACTTTTATCTTCAGGTAATAAATTACTGTCACATTAACTAAACATGACTTTTTTTTTTTTTTTAACAGATTATTAAGGATTTCTATTTGGTACCTAAAAAGTAAAAATGCACAGCTACTGTAGATTCAGATGTATAAATATTTCAAGTATTTTTAAGAGAGCGTCCAGAAACAAATATTTACTCTTCCTATGGTGAAGATTTAAATACATATTGAAGCATTTTACAAAGCCAGCTTCACAAGGTAAATATGCTGACATCTGGCCAATAACTTACTTCTTTGCAGTCTGCCACCATTAACAAAACTTCTGATTCCTAAACATAAATCATCTTTGGTATTTATCTTCCAGTCATGATTGGTTTTCAGCAAGTTTCTTCTACCATTGAAGTATCAAGTTTTATGTCTTATGTAAAAGATCCAGTGTTTTATTGCCTACGTTTCTTGGTGTTTGTACATTTCAGTTCACTCTTAGTCTCTATGTGGATCTTACAATAACTCCACTGGCTGCCAAGAACGTTTTTTTCCCTGAAGCTTTTAGTTTTTTCTAACTGTATTTCTCCATGCATGCCTTTGTTCATAATTTTTCCTGGTTTTCTTATTCCTGAATACTAAAACTGGGTGTGGTGTCTTGCACAAGCTTTTTCACTTCCAAGGTTATACCCTCTTATCTGCCATTCTGGCTTCAAACCCACCCAAACAAATGGCATTCTTTGCCAACAGTATCTGTGTATGTGCATGTTCCCAAGCCTTCCTGGGGATACACATCCTTTAGCTGCTCATTGCTCACAACATTTTCCTGTTGTGGCACAAAGTGCACTAAACATCAAACATCCACTTCTTCTTCATCTTCTTCAGTTTTGTTTAACCCTTTCCAGCAAAAATTTTCAGGCGCAATTTGTGTTGGTTATGACATGCACAGGCTCTTCCTTGCCATCAGAAATCCCTTTCAGCCCCAGAACTGCAGTTCATATCCTTGCTTTTGATGGAGAGTCTGACTCATCTGGATCAGTCCTGCTGCTAGACCATTGCTTCTTCTTCCTAAGGAAAAATTCCTTGGGGTGAAACGTGAACATCTTCAGCTGGCCTGTTTTGCATCCTTGTCCTGCACACCTCATGTTTCTAGACTCACCTGGCTACAACTGATTCAACTCATGGCAGTATTTCCTATCAAATAAACGTGATGATATTTGAACTCAAACCTGTGATGCCATCCCGGTCACCTCACCCAGGGACTACGAAGAGACCCCTGGCCCACTGTCCCATCCCCCGGCAGGGCTCTGGAGCCACCCATGCACCCACAGGCCTGTCCCTACCATGTACCGCATGTTGCTGGCAGCTGGCCGGACTGTGGTGCGGAGCTCGTTGTGGACGCGCACACAGTCCTCGATGAAGGTCTTATCCATGATGCTCGGTAAGGCGGGCACCTGCCTGGCCACAGCCCTTAGCACCAG